CTAACGTCCCTTTTGATTTCTATATATAGTAAGATATGAGATGATGCTAGGTGATGATCAGATGATGATAAAGATGATGACAAGGGTGATAACTATCATCGTAGGATCCTTAGCATCACTAACGGCTGTGATGCTGCAGCATCCTCTGCATCACCAATGCTGCCTGAGATGACGACGACCATGATGAGAATGGGGGCGTGATGACCGTTATCATCCGCGTCATGAAAACTATCATCACAACATCCTCTGCATCACTACTTGTTCCTTGATAACTATCATCATCGCATCCTTTGCATTGCCAAGGATGTCTAACGTCCCTTTTGATTTCTATATAACGGGACACTTGAAACGTATATAAAAAAAAGATAAGGACGATGACGAAGAAGATGATGATGAACACCAACTGACATGATAATCATCATGACGATGATGATGATGATGATGAACTGACATGATAATCATCATGACGCATCCTCAGCATCACCAGCAGTCATCATGATAATCATGTCCACTCATCTTCTGCATCTCAAATCGGGTCTAACGGGACACTTGAAACGTATATACAAAAAGATAAGGACGATGACGAAGAAGATGATGATGATGAGCACCGTGATGATGATGCTGATTATGATGATGATGAACTGACATGATAATCATCATGACGCATCCTCAGCATCACCAGCAGTCATCATGATAATCATGTCCGCGCATCTTCTGCATCTCAAATCGGGTCTAACGGGACACTTGAAACGTATATAAAAAAGATAAGGACGATGACGAAGAAGATGATGATGATAAGCGCCGTGATGATGCTGATGATGATGATGAATGTGAACTGACATGATAATCATGATGACGCATCCTCAGCATCACCAGCAGTCATCATGATAATCATGTCCACGCATCCTCTGCATTTCAAATCGGGTCTACCGGGACACTTGAAACGTATATAAAAAAAGATAAGGACGATGACGAAGAAGATGATGATGAACACCAACTGACATGATAATCATCATGACGCTGATGATGATGATGATGAACTGACATGATAATAATCATGACGCATCCTCAGCATCACCAGCAGCATCATGGATAATCAATGTCCCGAGCATCTTTCAGCATCTCAAATCGGGTCTAACGGGACAGTTGAAACGTATGTACAAAAAGATAAGGACGATGACGAAGAAGATGATGATGATGAGCACCGTGATGATGATGCTGATGATGATGATGAACTGACATGATAATCATCATGACGCATCCTCAGCATCACCAGCAGTCATCATGATAATCATTTCCGCGCATCTTCTGCATCTCAAATCGGGTCTAACGGGACACTTGACAAATTAAATATAATAAAGATTATAAAAGGACGATGACGAAGAAGATGATTATGATGAGCGGGCCGTGAGTGATTGAAATGATGATGAAATGAAGATGGTGATAATCATCATGACGCATCCTCAGCATCACCAGCAGTCATCATGATAATCATGTCCACGCATCTTCTGCATCTCAAATCGGGTCTAACGGGACACTTGAAACGTATATAAAAAAGATATGATGATGATGAACTGACATGATAATCATCATGACGCATCCTCAGCATCACCAGCAGTCATCATGATAATCATGTCCACGCATCTTCTGCATCTCAAATCGGGTCTAACGGGACACTTGAAACGTATATATAAAAAGATAAGGACGATGACGAAGAAGATGATGATGATGAACACCAACTGACATGATAATCATCATGACGCATCCTCAGCATCACCAGCAGTCATCATGATAATCATGTCCGCGCATCTTCTGCATCTCAAATCGGGTCTAACGGGACACTTGAAACGTACATAAAAAAAAGGTAAGGACGATGACGAAGAAGATGATGATGATGAGCACCGTGATGATGATGATGATGATGATGATGATGATGATGAACTGACATGATAATCATCATGACGCATCCTCAGCATCACCAGCAGTCATCATGGTAATCATGTCCGCGCATCTTCTGCATCTCGAATCTCGAATCGGGTCTAACGGGACACTTGAAACGTATATAAAAAAGATAAGGACGATGACGAAGAAGGTGATGATGATGAGCACCGTGATGATGATGATGATGATGATGATGATGATGATGATGATGATGAACTGACATGATAATCATCATGACGCATCCTCAGCATCACCAGTCATCATGATAATAATCAAATTGCCCCGTCCGCGCAACTTCTGCATATCACAAATCGGGTCTACTAACGGGACACTGAAACGTATATAAAAAAAAAACAGAAAAGGAGGACGATGACGAAGCAGATGATGATGATAGAGCAACCGTGAGATGATGAGATATGATGATGAAGATGAAGATGCACGACAAGATAATCATCATGACGCATCCCTCAGCAATCACCATCATCATCATGATAATCATGTCCCACAGCATCTTTTCGCATCTCAACTCGGTTCCTAACGGGACACTTGAAACGTATAAAAAAAAGATAAGGACGATGACGAAGAAGAAGATGATGAACACCATCTGACATGATATTCATCATGACGCTGATGATGATGATGATGATGATGAACTGACATGATAATCATCATGACGCATCCTCAGCATCACCAGCAGTCATCATGATAATCGTGTCCACGCATCTTCTGCATCTCAAATCGGGTCTAACGGGACACTTGAAACGTATATTAAAAAAGATAAGGACGATGACGAAGAAGATGATGATGACGAACACCAACTGACATGATAATCATCATGACGAATCTTCAGCATCACCAGCAGTCATCATGATAATCATGTCCGAGCATCTTCTGCATCTCAAATCGGGTCTAACGGGACACTTGAAACGTATATTAAAAAAAGATAAGGACAATGACGAAGAAGATGATGATGATAATCACCGTGATGATGCTGATGATGATGATGATGATGAACTGACATGATAATCATCATGACGCATCCTCAGCATCACCAGCAGTCATCATGATAATCATGTCCACGCATCTTCTGCATCTCAAATCGGGTCTAACGGGACACTTGAAACGTATATAACAAAGATAAGGACGATGACGAAGAAGATGATGATGATGAGCACCGTGATGATGATGATGATGATGATGATGATGATGATGAACTGACATGATAATCATCATGACGCATCCTCAGCATCACCAGCAGTCATCATGATAATCATGTCCGCGCCTCTTCTGCATCTCAAATCGGGTCTAACGGGACACTTGAAACGTATATAAAAAAAAGTTAAGGACGATGACGAAGAAGATGATGATGATAAGCACCGTGCATGATGCTATGATGATGATGATGATGAGATGAGAACTGACATGATAACATCATTACGCATCCTCAGCATCAACCACGCAAACGACATAGCACACACACACGCTCAACTTCTGCATCTCAAATCGGGTCTAACGGGACACTTGAAACGTATATAAAAAAGATAAGGACGATGACGAAGAAGATGATGATGATAAGCACCGTGATGATGCTGATGATGATGATGATGACCCCCATTCTCATCATGGTCGTCGTCATCTCTTATCAGGCAGCATTGGTGATGCAGAGGATGCTGCGATGATCGTTATCACCACAGCCGTTAGTGATGCTAAGGATGCTACGATGATAGTTATCATCCTTGTCATCATGTTTATCATCATCTGATCATCACCTAGCATCATCTTATATCATGACAAGGATGATAACTATCATCGTAGCATCCTTAGCATCACTAACGGCTGTGGTGATAACGATCATCGCAGCATCCTTTGCATCACCAATGCTGCCTAATGAGAGATGACGACGACCATGATGAGAATGGGGGCGTGAGGATCGTTATCATCCGCGTCATGACAACTATCATCACAACATCCTCTGCATCAGTACTTGCTCCTTGATAACTATCATCATCGCATCCTTTGCGTTGCCAAGGATGTCTAACGTCCCTTTTGGTTTCTATATATAGTAAGATATGAGATGATGCTAGGTGATGGTCAGATGATGATAAAGATGATGACAAGGGTGATAACTATCATCGTAGCATCCTTAGCATCACTAACGGCTGTGCTGATAACGATCCTCGCAGCATCCTCTGCATCACCAATGCTGCCTGATAAGAGATGACGACAACCATGATGATAATGATGATAAGGATAAGAGAATAAGAAAGAGATGATGATAAGGATGATGATGATCACGATGACCGTGACGATAACATTTATCGTAGCTGCAGCTGCTGATGCTGATGAGGATGAAACTTTGGATATACTTATGCGCCAACTACCCTTCCCGTGCGCCTCCCCTTTTTAGAGGAAGGGTCGGCGGATATGTGATTTTTCCCAGGGGGCTTAAGCAAATGGAAGTAGTATATATCTGGGGTTTCTCTTGAGCTGAGGTGATGGAACAGGCGAAGCCCGCCATCCGCGCCAAGCTGTTCCCCTGATGCCGGGGCCCGTGGAGGTTGAACTTTGCTGCATCCGAGCGAAGTGCGGTGGTTTGGTGCCATTTTTATATGGCCATGGGTCAAAAGCGCGGTTACCCCTCAGTGAACAGCCCAATCCCCACTAAAGTAGACTAAAATGGGTGGTGCACCCAGTGAACATCAACCAATCCAACCACTAAAATAGGTTCTAAAATGGGTGGTGAATTCACCTACCAACCAAAATGGGATCCCAAAACGGTCTTGACCTAAAGCCATATGGCTGTTTCGTGGCAACCAAATCTCCAGAAGAAGGTTCCTTTGCCTTGCTGCGTTCTTTCCCAAGAGAACAAAAAAACCGGCAGTCCTTAGGTGAAACACGACAATTTGGTCCGAAGAGCCTGGCAGTGGGCACGGGAACACCGCCAACAATTCCGTCCCCAGACAAATCTCTCTATCATAATTAGAACCTCAGGAAAAAGAACAAAAAACCAACACAGACCAAAAAAGTCGTCCCCAGAAGTTCTCCATTTTCTCGGGTCAGCCACGGCCTTCCGGTTCTTACATCAGCTGGGCCTCCGATCATGTCGGGCGCCATGGAAGTGGAGCTGCTCTGTCTGCCGGGGTCCCCCTGGAGCTCGAAGGCGATGTGGAGCCTCAGCCAGCAACCAGCTGTTGGCGGCGTTTAGAGACGCTGTTGGCGGCGTTTAGAGGGACTTTTAGGGGCGTTTGGATATTTTTAGGAGGACAATAATAATCATAAACAAAAGAGACTTTTCAGAGGCGAGAGGGACTTGAGACAGCGGATGGACAACCAACTCTGCACTGGAAGCATCCAAAGAATCTTTGGCCATCCACAGCATCCCAAAGGTCGCATCAACGAGCCCAGGATTTTGAGCCTCTGCAAACTCCCCTTCCAGAAGCGGCCCTTCGAGCCCATGGTGGACGAGGCGCGAAGTGCCAAAGTGCGATGGTTTATATCGGCTGGACTCATTGTGAAGAATCTGAAGAGGTCATTTGTTTTGTTTGTTTTGGTCGCCTAGATTGGGGCCAAGCTGAAAGTGCAGATGTTGAACGGCTCCTTTTTTCCCCTGTTGTCGCTTTTTTTTTTGTGGGGGGGTCCGTTCAGCCATCGTCAAAGGGAGTCTAATTTTTTGAGGGGAACACCTCGTTCCTGGTTCCTTACCAGCCCCTTTCTTAGGGGCTTGATGAAGGTCATAGGCCCAGACTTCGTTTGGATCTTTTGAAGCCTGAGTTCCTGCCTGGGAGGGAGCGGAGGGTAGCCCAAAATTCGGCCTTGCTTATTAAACAGGTCTTTTTCGAGGGCTCCCGCCCTCGGAGTGTGTCTCCTCACTGCGCAAAAGAACAACAATGAGCAACTTCATAGGCCCAAGAGCGACAGCTTTGGGGCCTCAGCCAATGGGGTCGCTAGAGGGATCGACGAGAATCCATGGTTCGATCTGTTTGCGGGTCACCTGGTGGAAGCGAACAGGTCCAAGATAAACCGACTTCCTTTTCTCCGTTTAGGGCAGGTTGGAGGGTCCAAAGCAGGTTCCGGCTGGGGCTGCTCCTTTGCCATTTTTTTTTCCCCAAAATGACCACCCAGTTCAAGTGAGACTCAATTCTTCAGTAGCCTTTGTCCCTTACTTGGGTTTTCCCACTAGATTCGGTGACCGGAAAGACACGATTTCTTGTTTTGCAGGGTCACTGAACAATTGGGAGGGTCTAAAGGGACACCGGACAAAAACTGAAAGTAGGGGGCCAATACCTGAATCCAGATTTGCGGTCGAAATCTAATCTGACAGCATAGGTGCCCTTTTAGGTCAGTTGGTTTACATGGATGTGTTTCCTTTATTTCAGTCGGTTTCCAGTCATTTACCAACAAAAGTATTGGCGTGTGTCTTTTTCTCCAAATTCTCTCCCAAGAGGCGCAGCACGTTTCGGTCCCACGTGAAATCAAACGGCTTCTCCAACCCGAGCACAGGTTTGGGTCGTGCCAGGTGTGGCTGCGGTACAAGCTTAAGCTTTGGCCTTGGCAGTGGCGGTTCTGGCAAAGGCTCACTGTGCCGGTGGCCATCATCAGGCGCGGACGTAAGAGGGCATCCGGTTCCTGAGCTTTTTAGCCTGTTGCTGTTTAGCGGTAGTTGAACCCACTAAAAGTTAAGCTTTTAGGGCGATCTGAGGGCAGCCCAGTTTTCGGAAGAATGAGTTTAGCGGTAAGCAAACAAACATCAGACCTTCTTTTGGCCAATCCACTCAAGTGAGGCAGGGCTGGTATGGAAAGGTTTTGGGGCTGTGAACTGGGAAGCGACGGACACAAAAAAAAAGGGTGTCCTTTTTGGTTGGTTTGCGTAAAAAAAAAATAGAGGGCGATTCCTGGTTTAAATGCTTGGATTCTTCCATTTGCCAGGGGCAGGGCCATCGATTGGCGGAAACCAAAGCGTGAGGTTTTAGCTAAGCCCAGGGGAGGAAGCTGGTCGGAACCTTTGGGCTATCACTTTGGGCCTCTTTTTGAGGGTGCCTTTTTTTGGTTGGTATTAAAGGACAACCAAACGGGAAACCAATCCCATTTTAACTAACAAACACATTTTTGGTGATTTGGGGGTGATTTTAAGTCATGGGGGTCCAACCTAAAGACCCACCCTTTTGGGGGACAAAACCACACGTGGGTTTAGGATTCTTCAACTCTACCTTGGAGTTTCTTCAAGTTTTACGATCCTGGGGGTGCTACAGTCGGACCATGGTGTCAATGGGGTTGGGGCTGTACTTTTCAACTCATCTCATGATCGTAATTTTCTAGGGTTGATTCGTTGTCCAGTCTTTTCAGCCATCGTTCTTTTCAAAAACCAGGCATTTCCCTAGGGTTTTGGTGGTTTTCTAGAAAGAAGGATCACTGGAAAGAATGGTTGGAAGTTACCCCTAGAAATTTGGCTCATCTCGGTTTTCAAGGCTGTAACCTGTTTCCCTTGAAGCGGGAAGTGTGTTTTGGGGCTTCGATCCCCCTGCCCCCAATGTCCGCAGAAGGGAACCGCCCCTTTTTGAATACGGCCCGGATCAATTCCCGAAGTCAACAGTACCTCAACTTTGGAGCGTGTATCCCATCGGATAAAAGCTTGTTTGTGCTTGCTTCCATTTCCTCGAAATGACTATGTTGTTATTTTGCTGTTGGGATTGAAGGGCATCAATTTCACTCCTGGACATGTACCTAAACCTTTATATATATATATATGTATTATGTGTATATGATATATATATATATATATCTACCTGGACCCTCAAAAAGGAACATACTTTTGCTTAGCAGAATTTCCGAAATCAAGGCGGAAACTGCCAATTGCCTGTTTCGCAGCGATTTAGCCTGATCTTATACATCGACCAGCGTTTCTCGAAGGGCTTTCATGCGGGCACCTTCCAGAATAGGAGTGGGACATGCAGGTTTCCATGACATGGTGCAGGGATGCGCCACAACCCCAAGTAAGGTAGGAAATTGCCACCAATTGTTGCAATCAATGGATGTGAGCCAAAATCCCACAAATTTGGCCACCCAAAATACGCGGAAATCGGCGGGAAATACGCGGAAATCGGCGGGACATACGCGGAAATCGGCGGGACATACGCGGAAATCGGCGGAAAATTCGCGGAAATCGGCGGAAAGGCCAAAACAAACTTTGTTAAACCTTGCCTGTGCCAAGTTGCGGACTGGGCACCTCTCATGAACAGCTGGTGAGGAATGGTACTCAACATGGTAGTTTTGATGACTGTCCACAGGTTGAAAGGGTCTGGAGTTCGTAGGCCTGGAATTGACCATGGAATTGATGAGGGCCAAGTAGTGGCTGGCAAGCAACCATGGAGAGGTCGAACCGAAATTCGTGTTTTTTTTTTTGGGTAAATAAGCGCTTTTTCCAACAAATCGTGTATTTTCGCTTTTTCAGGAAAATGTCGGGAATTTGTTCTTGAAGAAGTTCTAGGTATATAATATAAGTGTATTATGTGTTTTTCTCGAGGAGTCCAGCAAATGGAACACAACATATCACCAGGACACCTTCGAGTAGGGGGCCGAGGGCAAAATTCCGTGGCGCCGGTGTCAGGGAGCCCGCGCCCAAGGGCACCACTGTGCTGACCGACTCCTTCGACATCGCCGCGTGGGCGCTGGCCAGGTGGCCCACGATCTGAGCGAGCGGGGGGTTGGAGCTTTGGAGGTTAGACTTCTCTTGGCGGCTGAGAGCCATCCGGTTCCTTAGGTTTTGGTTTTAGCTTTTTTGGGGTTTGGTGGCTTTAGGGGAGGTTAGACTCATCTTCTGGTACCTTCCAATTCCACTTCCGGGGATCCGAATCTTTCTAGAAAACCTCCGGAAACCCAGGGACAATGTCCGGTTTTTGAAGAGAAGGATGCTTGAAAAGAATGGACAAGGAATCAACCCCTAGATATATCTTGGTGGCTCTCGGTCCGGTTCCGTAGTTTTTTCTGTTTTCGACGCTTTAAAGGAGGTTAGGCCCCTTAGCACAAGTTGTTGCTGTGCTTTGTTATTTGGCCACCCCCAAACTCCCTAAAGGTCGCGCTCGGTGCTCAGAGACCCGGATTCGTTCGTTTGGAGGTTAGACTTGTCTTAGTGGCTCTCAGCCATCCGGTTCCTTGTTTTGTAGCTTTTTGGGGTTGAGTGGTAGCTTCCATTCAACCCACTAAAATTGTTTGGCAGGGGATCTGAGGGCAACCCAGCTTTGTACTTGGCTTGTAATTATATGACCGCAGGGGCTGAGAGGGCAGGGAGGGAGGGAGGGGGGGAGTTTAATTCAGGTTGTATTCAGTGCTGAATAAGAGTCCTTCCCCCGCTCCCTCCCCCGAGGCTCCATAGCCTGTAGCCTTACCTTGGAAAAAGGGAACTTGGGTGTTCAGCTACTTGGCTCACCGCCAGAGACTTACTACGTCTACAGCCTCACTTTGAACATCCAGGGTACCCTAGGTTCTTACGTTTGCTGAATATTGATGATTTTCTCCTGGGTTTGAAGGGCAATCCTGTACCCTTCCCCCCCCCATTTTTCCCTTCGTTCCCATGGTTCCCATTTTCCCATGTTTCCCACTATTTCTCCAATGTCCCTCAATGTTCCCTATGTTCCCTGATTTTCCAGTTTTATATGTTCCCTTACTTTCCCTGAATGTTCCTTATTTTCAACTTGACACCTTCTTAAATCCACCCCCCATTCCATTCCTTGAAGCACTCATACCGCCGCAATTCCCGTTTGTATTCCCCTTCCGCCCGCAGGGGAGGAGATACAACCACGTTGTATCCACTATACGAGGATGAATCTCCGAATTTCCCTAGGCGATGGTGGTTGGGGCGGCACTCGACATCATGAAAGAATATTCCTAGACCTCAGCATGTTTCAACTGCTATTTAAGCAATACCCTTGCGGTTTCCCTGGCCACGGTTGACTTGTTTCAACACATGTTGCTAGTTATAGATAATCATCCTTTCTGCTATGGGTTATTCCCATGACCTATATGGGTGTTTTTTGACCAACATGGTCAGACAACTTAGAATACACCTTGATTGCTATTCGGTTGGATCTTTAGACTTTAGCTTTTTGGTTGGGATCAAGTTGTGTTTTCCGTATGAAACCCAGAGACGTCTCTCGCCTGCAACCAAGGCACTTGTTGCATGTTGAAACTGCCAGGAAAAACGCCCATCTCCGTTTAGTGTCACTTTTGAACATGGGGAGCGCCTGTCCTGAGAAAGACACCCATCTTCGCGTGTCTAAACCACTATCTCCTTTCTGTTTCCTTTTAAAATGGGGTCGTCTGGGTTTTCAAACATAGGTGTCCTTTTAGGTTGTTTGCTTAAAAAATAGTTGGTTTCTTCCATTTACCAGGGCCATCTATTTCTCCAAACGTCCACATGTTTAAACTGCCATAAAAACGTCCATCTCCTTTTAGTTTAGTCTTTTGGTTTCCTTTTAAGATGGGGTCGTCTGGGTTTTCAATCCAGTTTTTCAGTTTTTCCATCTCTGGCAGGTCTTCGCCGTCGCCATCTCCAGAGCAGGTGGCGCAGCTGAGGCGTTGGAACGCGCTCAGCGACGCGGTGCTGAACTTTGGGCGGGCTGACTTCGTGCGCGCCGCGCTGAAGGACGTGCGCGTGGCTGTGGAGGCGGGGCCCGTGGGGGCTGCAGGGACTTGGCTCGGACGCCATTTCTTTGCCTTTTGTGGGCTTTCCAAAAGGGAAATCGCTCGGAAACCTGTATTTGTGGGTTTTTTTTTGATTGGAGGTTCCTTCCCAAAACCCGGAAGGTCGTTCTCTGGATGGAACCCGGGTTCATTCCCAAAACCCAGGTTGGTTAACCCCGGAAGGTCATTCCCCACTGAGCACCACGGCTTTTTGGTGAGCATGCCGCCCAGGTTCCGACGGGTTGCACCAGGGTGAAATGTGTATGGCGCAATTCCGTTTTTGCGGGTAAGGGAGATGATTCGAGCATGATTAGACCCAAGTGAGGGAATTGTGCCATTTCCCTTTTGGTTTCCCCCCCAACCCCAAAGCGGCTTCCACGGAAAGTGCCAGTAACTTGCAACATTTTTCCAGGGGACATCCGGTGACCCCTGAATTCCCTAAATTGAACTTCTCGCTTTTCGGGGATTTTCCCGCAAACAACGACACAACATTGGGTGTATGTGAGGTCCAAACATTTGGGGAGCTAATTCATCCGCAATATATGCTATCAATGGCTTCCCATTAAGGGTGTGCCCTCAGAGTTGCATACGACATAACCAGTTGGTAAGCTATCGAGACTTCTGGGTATTGTTTACCAGTATCCTAAGTTTGACACACTCCCAACGGGTACATGCCACTAGCCGTTGCTATAGGCGTCTCAAAGAAAGGCTCGCCACTTTTCGGGTTAGGGAAGCCAAATAGCCCAGCCGCCCAGTTTTGATTTTTGAGAAGCACATTAAAACAACCCCTTTGTTTGGATGGCTTTGTAGGGAAAAGGAACGCCACAGATCTGCGGGGGCTATGGGCTGACCATTTTCGGGAGGAGAAGGAGGAGCGGGACTAGCTAAATGATCAGAACCCATCCCAAACCACAGTCCATACACCCTGGCACTACCCGCGGAGCAAGTGGCACATATCGGGGTTTTAGGGTCGTTTTTCGAGGACTTGGATGCTCAACCTACTTGGTAAGTGGGACAAAAGGAATAGGTTGACTTGTCACGTACAACCATAGTTATAACCGACTAAGCAGTTTGAACATCCAAGCGGGGCGAATACCCCAAAATGGGCTGTTTTCAAGGGCCTCAGGTCGGGTTCGCGGTTCGGGCGGGAATACGGGGGTGTCTTTTTGATAGCGCCCGTTTTTGTACCGGGGAACAAAGAGGAAAACACACCAGAATGCTCTACGTCCTTGCGGCAAGCCAGTTCATACAGCACCTGAAACAAACGTCTAGAACCAAAAGGCTGCCATTCAGTGCATCGCTTTGTTCAGAGTTGCAATTTTGTGGGTCCAACCTCAAAAAAACACGAGCCACACGCCGTACGGCCACTGATTCTTTTGGACGGAACCCGTATTTGGATCGTGTTTTTTCTTCCATGGTCAATATGCTTTTGCTGGCCGCTGGCCGTAGGCCGTAAAAATGGACATCTCCAGCCAAAAAAACGGCAACACGCGAGGTGATCGCCCCGCCGTGGATGCGAAAGCTGCCTTTGCTCTTCTCGGGGCTAGTGATGTGGGTGGCGGTCAGAGTCTTCGCATGGAAGTACGCCGACAAGCGCCTCGCTGCCAACCTGTAGACCTGTCATGTGGCTGTGTTCTTTCTTTTTGGGAGGGTGCCAAGCCAAAAGGGGGTTGGTTAAGGAAACCAAAAGGACGCCATTCATTTTAGTTGTTCTTTAACACAGGCACAGTCAGCATTGCCACTTTAATGGACCCAAAAAGATGATGCGAATGTCAACCTAGGAGACAATAGGGGAGTCCCATTTTAGAGGGGTCCTTTATTGGTGTGAACCCCCGATTAATCAGGTTGATGAATCCGGGGTCGAGGTGAGTGGACCAATCACTGGTCGCCCCCTTGATTGTGGGTGTGTCTTTTTTTAGGATACCCGTTTCTATTTTCTCGTTTGTTTACAGGGAAACCAGAACGAAGACCGCCATTTCGGGGATCCCCAATTTTGAGACAGCCCATGCCCACCAACCAGCCCACCAACCAGCCCACCAACCAGCCAGCCAGCCAGCCAGCTAGCCAACCAACCAACCAACCATCCATGCCCAACAGCTTAGCTCGGCCAGCAGTTTCCCACCTGTCCGATCTTTTCACGGCATCTGCCAAATAGCCTTCGCGCCCGGGTTTCACGCGGGTGTCACCGTAGCTCGTTTCCGGGGTTTTGTATGGGAGAAAGGAGGCCCTTCGGGGTTTGGAGTCGTTCCTTGGGCGCCAAAACGGTTTGCTCAGCATTTGTCAATGGTTCGAATTGGCCCAGATCGATTCTTTGTTTGTTTGAGGGCAAAGCCGGTTTTTGCGCAGCAACCCACGCCCAAACCCACCATAACCAGATCCATGAAAAGGACATTTCATCCTTGGCATTGCCTGATCAAAGGTATTTGTGAGAACCCTCAACATGCAGGTAAAGCGACCTTGGGTCAAACTTAAGCCACCAGGGTCTCCGCAGGTAAAAATGTCCATGTTTCCATTTAGCAGGGCAACCCATGTTGGATACCTATTTTGACGTGTGACCTGAACATCAACCGCAAAGCCCCGACAAGTCGTACCCAGGAACAAGGAGAGCACCCGGGAGGTCGTCCAAGAGGCCATGAGGCAAGTTAGCGTTGCGCTGAAGAGCGGCAAGGGCCGGTACTTGGTGGAGGACATTCTTTTCCGCGGTTGAAGGTAGATATTTGGGTTGTTTCCACATGGGGGCCCACCATGTTGAGAACTCAATTGATTTTGCCTTTGGGACACTGATTAGGCTTGGAATTGTTCAATAGGGAACCCCCTGACAAGTGGGAACTGGGCATGTCCACCCCCCGTCCTGTGTTTTCTGGCCAAAGGAGAATTCGTGTGTCTTGTTTCCAATTCTTCGGTGCATTGTGCTTGGATGTTAGGACTTTTACTTTTTGCCAACTAATGGGCTTTCCATTAAACCACTAAAAGTCAAACGTTTAGCAGGGGAGCAGAAAGCAACCGAGAATATTCACCCTCATGTTCATTGTTTTTGGAAGCCCTTGAAGGTCAAGCTGTAAGCGGGCGACGCAGCTTCCCTCTACTTTGTGGTTTGGGGCTTGGCGTTCCAAGAACCTGTTTCCTATTTACCCTTGACAAGAACAAGGGGTATGAATAGTTTATAGTTTCTCCTACAAGTAGAACTTGGTTTCAAAGTCGCCCACACCCCTCTTATTCTAGCTGTTTAGCTGTGTACTAAGATTGCGATGTATTTGTTCAAAGACCCAACTGACACTGCAAACCCATTTAGGGTGCCATGTTTTCTTGTAGGGAATATGCGGGTACTTCGACGGCCTGGGCAAAATGGCAAGTGCGAGTAACCCCAACCCCAGATAACCCCCCCTATCGAAGTACCCTTTTCCAACAATCATTTTCAGTCCAAAGCCCCAAAAGGTTATCCTTTCATTTCGGGGACCAACTTGAAACTGGGCAAAAGTGAGTCCGTGGAAGACAAGGGCCGAAACCCTTGGGACCTCTGAACGGGATCCCTTTGGACCACTGAAAGGGTTGTTCGGAGGCTGGGTTTTGACACAAAGATCGGCTACGTGCCAGCCTGTCAGATCCGTTGAAGTTCCCTTGTAGGCTTTAGGTTCCCACTGAGATGGAGAGGTGCCTGGAAGACCATCTTCCTTTCAGAGGGACCACCGGGTCCCTGTCAGGTTCCATGTTGGTTGGTGGGAGGGTAGGGCCCCCTGGCAGGACCGCTTCTCCTACGCGGATATCGTGATGGCCATCGCGGTCAACGGCCTAGCGCCCACAGAAGGAGCGCTGCAGTTCACCATCCCTCGGAAGTTTCAGTCGGAGCCGGACGACATCTTGGCCGAGTTTCAAGATGTGAAAGCGTGGAAGGAGGCGATCATGAAAGATCTTCCCGACGTGCTCAGAATCAAGTAGCGCAAATAGCTGACAGAGTACGGGGTTCTTGTATGTCCCTGGTTGAAACATCACTGCTTGTGCAATCTCGATTGAGTGTGGGATGAGCCAAGGGGACATATAGGGTCATATAAGGACCCCTTGTGATAAGTCTGGAGCGTTTGGCCCACAGGTCGCATGCCTCCGGCAGTTCCCATGCAGTTCCCAGATTGATTCAGGAAAAAGACCCGCGGCCGATTTGTTTTCTGCCTTGCCCAAGCCGCGTTGCAGGGCCACCTCTTTTTGAGTCAGCTAAGCGGTTGGCAACCAGTTCCCCAATTCTCCGGGCCCCTCCAAGAGGAAACTCATAGTCCAGGTACCCTCCAGGTGCCATGTTAGGAGGAAGGGCAACCAACCGCCCATGTAAACCCTGTTTACGAGGAGTTCGCCATGGGGACCCCAGACCGTCCAAGTACCCTCTTTCCAGCAATCATGGAAGTAGACACTGTTCTAGACCAGGGGGGCTGGTGTTCAAACACCTCGTCAGATTTCATGCTTGTTTTCCTTCTCTTCCTCCTCCTCCTCCTCCTCCTCCTCCTAGATACACTGGTTTTACAACTTTCACTTTCTGTCATGTTTTTCTGGCCCGGTGATTGTCAAAATTTCCGGTAGTCTCTGGTCAGCACTTCCCTTCCAGCGCTGGTCTGTTTCGACTGATTTCGGGCTAGGCGTGATGGTCTGCATTTGGTTCAACAGGAAGTGACACTGGCCGGTACATGGCACAAGCGCAAATGCGGTGACCTGGGCAAGTCCCAGTCGCAGGGTCGTGAAGCCTTGGCTCGTCGGGGGTCTTCAGGTTGCAAGGATCGGTCACTGCGCGCACATGGCAAGACGAAACCGAAAAGGTCGACTTGGAGACCAGGGGGGCCGCGGGGCCTCACTCATCATCCCAGGTTTTGTTGGGAAAGATCGTATTGACCGTGATGTGGGGCTTGATCAATATTCCCAGCAGTTGCGCGGGAAGCGCTTTTTTTCGGTATGGTTTTCCCGTGGGGCTTGGTGCTGGACCCCAACATCAAGAGGGACACGCCCATAGGTGTCCTTTTTGGTGGTTTTTGGCAAAAGAAATCAGATGGCGATTCCTGGTTTCACAGGTGGTTTACTCATCTACCAGAAAAAACAATCTACTGTATTTCCGCCAAAAGGACACCTATGGACTCGCGATGCCGCGAGCTCGCCTGAGGCCGCGATCCCGAGGCCCGGGTCGGATGGATGGTCAGCTTTTCCCCCCCCGTTGGTTTGGAGCTCGGCGGTTTGGAGTCCGGTGGTCCGGGGCTTTCCCATTGAACCGAAAAAACCACTCCCCTGAGCCTCCGGGCTCCACCAAGGGGTTACCAGAGACGGTTTCAACCGGTTTTTCGGTTCGGTTCTTTGGAGGGGATCTCAACAAGTTGGAAGATCACCTGGCTGATTCTTTAGACAGGGTTCCTTGGATCAATCAGCGCGGTTCTTTGTCATGGTATCCTTTGAGGAATTTGCAAATTGATATGGGACCCGATGGAAAACAAACATCTGTCTCCCACGAGAACAATTGGTCCACGATGAAGTTGTTTTGGGCTAGATGTCCATCAGCAGAGGAATGTGTATACACATATATATATGTACATATAGGTGTGGCCTCGCAGGCATGCTGAACATTTTGGAGGGGATTCTGCGATGTTGGTGTGTGTTTGCATATATATATATATATATATATGGAAAACCTTTTGGTGGACCTTATTTAGGTTTGGTTGGGATTCAGGTTCACCAACCACGTGTGAGGAAGTTCCCTATTAATCTTATAGGGTCCTGCCACCAAAGCAAGTCCGAGACCTAGAACCCTTGGTGCATTTGTGTGAGTGTGTCAACTTGTTTTACCCGTTTTTTGCCTTGTTTTCCACCATCCGTTAAAAGGGTCAAAAGGGGCAGGCTGAAGTTTGACAGAGGTCTTCTGGCGCCCCAGGGTTGGACCACCCCCCCTTGGTGAAATTCGACTCTTCGACCCTACTTTTGACATTTGGAGTGAAACCCAAAGGACACCCACTTTCTTGGGGACCGATTCCTATTTTGAGAGCCCACATCTTTCGACAGTTGTGAAGACAACTTCCTTGACGGTTTAACCCTGAGACTTCTCCAGGACCTTGGGTTCGGATGCTATTGCAAGGAAGCAAGTACACCCACTTTCTCCACTAGTGTTGCGGTGATTGTTCTGAATACTTGATGGCCAAGAGATGGCTGTCAAAAATAGGTACCCCAAATGGCTTGCCCTAGTAAGTGGAAACATGGACCAACACCAGCGGTTTTCTGGTGGTGACGAATTTTGAGCCATACCCAAACCACAAGTATTTCTTTGGTCAGATAGTAGGGTGTCGCTTGATCGCATGGCCAGTGGTGACTTAGATGGTTTTCACGGAGTCCGGCGGCTCAAAACCCGCCAGGCGAGCCAGAGAGGCGGGCCAGCGGGCCAGGGCGAGTTTCGGATGGCTTGGCCTCGAGCCGATTTTCTTTTTGCCTCCGGGATCCCGAAATGGACCTCAGACTTTGGCAGGGGTAAACTTAGGATACATTTTACCATTTTACCAGTGACTCAAAGTGAAGCAAAAATAAAATATACATTCTATAACTGGTTGCCTAACTCTAATCATGTTGGCAGGATTCCTGACCAAACCGAGATTCTCCATATTTGGGCGTGTCTTGTTTGGAGGTACCCTTTTTGGGGATGGGAAGCCAAAGGCAAGCCAGTCATGGGGTGCCCAGAAGAGTTTTCGGAGTTGGAACTAGACGAGGGACCCATGCTTCAACTGGCAAAGAGAATGGGCCGAGGTCACGACTTCCGGGGGAAAACAGTCGTGATCTTGCTGAATCCTGGAATGTGGGTGCGTTGTTTTTAAGGGTTTGGACCTCTCAAAGTGTTGGTTTTCCTTTTGGTAAAACATACCCAAAAGGGTCCCCAACCCACAAAATGATCCACCCATATAGGGAATCGCCCAGATTTCATTCGGGTAAGAAGGGTGCCCTTTGCCACACCTGCATTTTTCTCATGGCTGAACCATGACTACAGCCTCATTTGGGTTTTTCTCAAAATGGTACACCCCATGAAAGGCTAGCAGGCTGAATGAGAATCACCGTGAGGCCTTTGTAAATCTTTAGAATCAACAATTGAATCCAAAAGTCAGGGTTGGTAGGATATCTCAAGAGCACAAGCAATAGCACAAGAAACTCAGGAGCAGCAACTGGGAACTGGTTTTTGCTTTTTTGGTGCTTGGCTTCTTCGCTTCTCACACAGCAAGGATCGGGAAGACTCACTTGCCCAATCCATCCCAGGATCCAAACCTCCCCCAACGCCTCCTTTTCCTGGCGTCAGCCAAGCACTTCCTGGACGCATCTTTGGGGTCTCAGTTTGGGAAAGAGCGGGGCGAGGGGGCGCTGGGCTCCTGGAGTCCACGCGGCGCCGAGAGACGCCGGTCGCGCACAGCGCGGAAGTTAGCCTCGGAGCGCGAGCGGCCACGGGAAAAAAAGAAGAAGGCCGCGCGCTGGTTCGGTTTGTACGTTTTGGTGTGTGGTTATAAACCGAAGCCAAGAGGAGCACTGCAATTTTGGTGGGTCCCCCAAACAAAGACCCACCCACTTGAACAATTTTGGGGTTTTGGACTGTTTTAGCGGCAAAGAGAATCCAGGAAGTGAGCCGCAGAACGCCAGAATCTTACATGGTTTCCAATACCCTCACCACCTACAACGGTGTATACCCTTTTCATCGCGGCTGGCTGTACTCTTAGGGCAGTTTTGGAGGTGGTTTCCCCATCGACAGAACCCACTTGCCCACTCAACAGTTTGTTGGACAACTGCCCGCTGGCCATGCGATCAAGCGACACCCTACTATCTGACCAAAGAAATACTTGTGGTTTGGGTATGGGTCAAAATTGGTCACCAGGAATTGGACCACAGGTAGTCATTGTTTCCATTTACCAGGGCTCATTCCATTTCGGGGTTACCCGATTTTTGACCACCCTATTTTGGGACATGGCCCTTTCTTTGAACCCCTGGTTGGGGTTCAGTTCAGTTTGGGCGCACCTCAGATCTCCATTTTGCCCGCCCATTTGAAACATGGATGGCTTTTTCAACGCCAAAGTAGAGTTGGAAACCACCATTTACAAGTTGCAATGTTCAGGTGTATAATGTAAGAATCCCTGTTCAGTTTGGTTTGGGTGCACCTCGCTTGCCTTTGCCTTTGCCTTTCCCTGGCCAGCCAAAAGTCAGATCTCCTTGCGGCGCCAAGTTTGGCCGAGAAATCAGCGGTATGGGGTAAAAAAGAGCGGTGTCACTCATGAAGATTGTTTGGGGTCTAAGCTCGGGCACTTTAAGGGGTGAGCCGGGGGCGGGGTTTTTCCGGGTGTGTTTCGGATTTCTCTTTTCAAAAGGGGGGGGTGCTCTGGCGGTTTTTTTGTCTCCCTCTTTTGGGCGAGTGGTTTTCCAGAGGGGTCACTTGGGGCTCCCGAGGCCGCGACCGGGACCGCGACCGGGACCGGGGCCGGGAGGCGCTGTGCAATTTTTGATTCGAGGCAACCCGGCGCTTACGGATGACGGAGCTGTGCAGTATTTTGGAAGCTCAATGAACATTTCAACTTTGGTTGGACTTGGATGTTCCTTGCGAAGATGTCAGGCAACTGACTTTTTTGATGTGGGTCAGTGCATGTCAGTGTGCAGCAACGCAGACCGCGACGCACACTGAGCGCACACAGGGATTGTATCAGTTGCAGGGTTGTGGAATCAAGGGGTTTACTCCCACTTCTGTGATACAAGGGAATCTCCCCCCTTATATGGGGTGTTACTCGTAGTCTTTGGGAAGCTCTTTTTGTTGTATCACAGAAGTGGATTCCATTTCCCACAACGAACACTTGCCAATGAGCCTGGTTTGCACTTGGCGCTTTGCATCGAGAGCAACCGGACCGCGCGGATCTCCAAGCTGGAGGAGACAAACCGCTCCGTTCAGCGCCTGCAGCCGGACGCAAGCTTCCACGCACGAATCTCCGACAACTTCAATCGGGTTGGCCGA